AACATTTTTTGGTTTATCGTTAGCTGTCAGTAGGAGACATTTAAATGCACTTCTTAGTACAAAGGCAACTCGCCTCTGGCACTAATGATAGAAGACCATGCTTATACAAGGTGTTCCAGAAAAATGTGGCTATCGTTTGAGAGTGTTAATAACTCTCTTGTCGTAGAGTCTCTCGAGAAGGTTTAAGTATTATTCTGTAGAGCTGGCTTCAACTTAGATCTACAGTATAAAGCAAATCACCCACCCCTCTTCATTACTGTGGGATTACGTGGGAACCTTGAAAGGGTTCTGCTTCGTTAAGGGTCACCCTTTGACCCCAAAAAAGAGAAAAGAAAGTGATAAGATCTACACTAGGTTGATTAGAGTCGCTAATTCCAAATATTGATATACTATAATATAGAACTCGCACTTCACCAAAGCTCTTCTTATAAGATGTGCCGGATATACCGTAACAACAAATTTATGATGCCCAAAAACTTGATTACATCTCTTGAAAAGCTTTGCGAACGCGCAAAAAGTTATATAGTGAAATCGGTATGCATACAAGCTTTGTAACGCAATTTTTTACTTTTTTAAAAATGTTTAACGGCCTTCTCACAGTGACGCCATTGCGAGTCCATACCGTAATTCCACAGTATTGATGAAGAAAACTTTAGTAATTTGCTCCTTACTGTAAATCTAAGTTGGAGCCAGCTCTATAAGGTAATGCCCAGAGCTTTTTGAAAGATTTTATGATAAGAGAGTTATTAACAATCAAACAGTACGCATTTTTCGGACACTCTATAGATCAGCTGTATAAAATATTGATTTCTCAGGTTTTAAAGTGCAAATTCCATGGGTTCCGATAATTAGGTTGCGCTTTATTTTACCAATACTTTCAGTTGGCAACATTTCCTCGACTGGAAGAACAGCGACGGCGGTTGGAGGCGGAAAAGGAATGCGCTATAAACGAAAGTGAACAACTTCGACGTCAGATTTCGCAGTTGAGGGAGAAAATCTGCGCCGAATGCTGCATCTGCTTAGCCAGCAAGGTTCGTTTGACTTTTTCTGTCAAAACAAACAATTTCTAATTATCTTGTTCTTTAGCCTTGCGTGCTGTTCCTGCCGTGTCGCCATATGGTCATCTGCGACACTTGCCATGCCGAGTCGAAGATCGTCGAGTGCCCCGCCTGCAGAACCCGGGTTGGCGATTCGATGAGGGTCTTTTCCTAATGCTCATCGTTAGACGCGATAGTGCACTAAAACTGCTGCTAGAGGTGCTTTCACAAGACATATACGTACACGATTTCTTATTTCTGTGATTTGATTTTTCTCGTCAACGATAATCTCTTCCCTGCCAATAACATTCCCTTTCAGAGATCTTTTTATATGTTGCAGAGCTATGTAATAGGTATTGCTTTGAGCT